GAAGGAAGGAAGGAAGGAAGGAAGGAAGGAAGGAAGGAAGGAAGGAAAGAAGGAAGGAAAGAAAGAAGGAAGGAAGGAAGGGCACTGAGTACGTCAGAGGGCAGACAAATACTGTCATGAGATGTGAAAAAGTTTAAGATGAGATAATGGGGGCAACAGATTTCCACTTGCTATCGAATGGAAGTTTAGGGGGCTTTTTTTGGTTTCTACTTAATATCAAATCAGCTGATTACAAGCCATAGGCAACTCATTTTAAGGATCTAGATGACTGGGGCGCCTCGGTGGCTCAGCTGTTTAGCGTCTGCCTTCGGCTCGGATCATGATCCCAGGGTCCTGGGATCGAGCCCCACATGGGGCTCCCTGCTCAGCGGGAAGCCTGCTTCTCCCTCTCCTACTCCCCCTGCTTGTGTTCCCTCTCTTGCTGTCTCTCTCTCTCTGTCAAAAAATAAATAAAAATCTTAAAAAAAAAAAAAAAGATCTAGATGACTACCTCATTTCAACTTTGTTCTTGGGATGTCCCTTGGCAAAAACCAGTGAAACTGACTGCTACCCACAAGACTTCTGCCTACTTCCCTGTATGGTTCACAAGACCTGCTTTCAGTAAACCCAAAAGATCAGGCACAGCGCAAACATATGTGCTCTATAGGGGACAACTGATGGAGCAGCAAAAAGCACTGAGCAATGAGACTACTCTGTAGTCCACTACTCACCTGGGACTCTAGGCGTAAAAAAAACTTCAGCAGAATTAAAATTAAGTGGAAACTTGCAATAATATTCTAATTAATAATTTCACTACTTCATACTTAAGAATCCTAAATCTTACAGAGGGAAGTCAAACATTTTTAAGTAAAATAACTGGGCCTCATGGGGAACTAGGGGGACCAGAACTGCTCACTGAAGGCCTTTAAGACAATCTCTAAAACTGCATCATGGGGTATCGGAATCCTATTCTGGGTTCTCTAATAACAAAAACAACACTACCAATGTGCGTCTGAATTACTTGCTATGCTCTTTGGTTCACCTTTCCCCCAGTCAGAACACGAAAACCATGCCCTGAAAGAGGAAGCAGCAGCATCTCAGCAGCGCCCTGTCGACAGCACATCCAGTTCAAGCTGTGTTAATTACCAAGAGCAAACACTTTTACTTCCATCTATATTGAGAGAGAAATCACATTTCATCACTTAAGGTGTTCACCCAAGCCCCAAGGGAGATGGCAGATGGGAAAGAAAAGTAAAGTAAAGCAGATGGATGGAAGACTCAGAAGGAAAGGAAGACAGGGACCTGCATGCCATTAACCATTACTTTTCCAGTCTTCTTTACGCTCTCATAGGTTAGGGTGCTTATGGTAAAAGATGCAGAGAACTCTCTCCAGCTCTTACAGTTCTTCATAAGCAAGAAGACTGAGAAAAGGATAATCATTAACAAGTCATTTTAAATGCTCTGGATAAGAAATGGCTATGTCGAATTTGCAATCATCTTAAATCATAAGAATGTTCAATTTATGTTTACTCTTCCCCTTCCAGACATCTTGCCAATCATGACCGCTATGCCTAAAGATGGAAAGAATCATTTTCTGATTGAGCCATTTTCTGCTAACTCATTATTATAAATTATTGATCATGTTCACCAAATTTTATAAAAAAAGAAGGGTTTGAACTGTCGTGTTTTAGGCCATTTGCAAACATTGTCGTTTCAGGCATGGAAGACAATCTCGTGAAAAATATTACGTTTCCAAGATTTGAGGGTCCCAAGTTTATCTTTTGCATTATTTGAAGCGTGCACTCACATGCACAGATGCACTTACTCTGTGAGGTCTCATTTCCTGTCAAGGCAGCTGTCTGGCAACAGCAGGGCAAGGGCAAGGGCCATTGAAAGGGACCTGGCTGAGCCTCTGAGCTAGTGGTAGGCCTCCACAAGGCACCAACTCTGCGCTCGGAGAAGAAAGGCAGAGTAGCTCTTGCCAGAAGACTCCCCGCACTATCGTAAGGGTGCTAGGAACAAGAGAGACTAATGACAAAAGCAGCCAAAGAATCTCTCACAGCCAAGGCCTCATGCTCAAAAGTACTTCAAGATTATTACCAAAAAAAAAAAAAAAAAAAAATTTTGTGTGAGTAAAGGGGAAAGCAACCTACTGTGGATGGAGCATGAAGGTCATGAAGACTTCCAGCCTGCCTTCTCAGCATGGGTGTTTCATGTTTAGATTTATTAAGAAAAGAAAAGAAAAGAAAATTCCTAAATCCAGAACTTAGGATTTTAAAACTGTGATCAACTTTCCAAGTGATTTTTATTTTGTTTTTAGTATCTTGTTTTTAGTAACATTAACAATTCAAGTAACTACTGCCCATAAGGGAGTCCATTTGTCAGTCTTTATTCAGATTTTGTCTCAGAATGAACTAGACAAGGAAGCCTATTCCATCCCTTAAACTCAGGAGGTTATGAAAGACATATGCATACATTTCAGCAACATCTAGCAATAAACTAAGACTGTATCAAAAAGGGAAGAAGGGGGGGAGGGCAAAAGAATTAAGCCCCAAATGATGCTCAAAGTACCTGAGCTTTGATTCTGAGGCCAGTTGAAATTGGATCTGCGGGCAGCAGTTTAGACACATTTAGAAAAGCACATATCTGTGAGCATATGGAGGCACTGTGTTCTGGTATGTTTCCTGATATGACTAAGCGATGCATTCCTTAAGCACAGGGACCATGTCTTATTCATCTTGTGCCTCACAAAGAGTAGGTGCTCATTAAATGTTCAGTGACTTAATGAATATAAATACAATAACAGTTTAGGCAGTGAGCAACTGAAATTCCAGATTATTGTTCATTAAAACCATTTGGCAAAAGTGGCCATGCCTGTTGCAAAAGACCTGAAACACATGGAAAGAGTTAATCACACTGCCCACACCCTCTAATGTGATGAGATATCGGGGACTGGTGAAAGAAGTTTCTGTCAGTCTCAAAATTCTCCACTCAGTGAGCTAGCTGAATATTCACACCAAACCTCTCTTGATACATAGCCAGATTCTGATTCTTGGGATGATCACGCAATTAAATTCATATGAGTTTTGCCCATTCCCTTGCCCCAACAGATTTTTTTAATTAGCATGGCTTCTCTGAGTCAGTCCTTAGTTACTGAGGAATGTATCACATCTTCAGCTTTCTGAAGCCCAGTGGTTTACAAACTAGTGTACCTCAGCGTCACTTTGTGAAAACAGATTGCTGGGCCCCACCCTCAGAGTTTCTGATTTCCTGAGTCTAGAGTGAGAACTAGTAATGTGCATTCTGACAAGTTCCCGGGTGAGGCTCATGCTGCTGGTTACAGAGCCCGTGCTCCAGGCTAGAGGGCTAGAGAGTTGGTCTTTACTTAAAAGACAGATATTAAAAGTAGAACTGATAATACACCACGTGGGACATCTGGGTGATTCAGTGGGTTAAACGTCTGCCTTCAGCTCAGGTCATGATCCCAGGGTCTTGGGATGGAATCCCACGTCAGGCTCCCTGCTCAGCGGGGAGCCTGCTTCTCCCTCTCCCCACTGCTCATGCTCCTCTCTCTCAAATAAATAAAATCTTCCAAGAAAGAGAGAGAGAGAGAATACATCATGTACTAACTAAAATGGGCCTTCTATTTTTAAAAAGCTTTGCCAAATTTTTTTGTTGTTGTTGAGCAAAGGAAACAAAGAATGTTATGGAAGGCACACTGAATAGTGACTGGACCAATAGCTGAAGTGTCTGATATTGCTAATCCAGTGGCAAAGACACCTTACTGTAAAAAACAAAGTTACCGATATCTTAGGCCACCAATAAAGCAAGTCCAGGCTAAAAGCTAAGACTTCTCTCTAGGTGTAATTAGAAGGAAGTCTTCTGAAAGTCTTGCTCCCATGCCTTTCCATAGGCTCACCTCAGCTAACTGTCATGTGCAACCTACATTTTTAACCCAGGAACTGATTTACATTTTTCCCTATAAAGTAGTGCAACTGAGTTTCCATGAAAATCCAGGAATTTCAAAACAGGCATCCTACCAGTATTTCCATACAACATAAAGAAAAACTCTTGAAAAATTAAAATGTGACATGTGCTACGTGGATAGTTACAAATGTGCTCATGATTGATAAGCAAACATAGAGAATAAAATAAAAATAAAAACTTGATGATAAAAAGTTCAGAGGTTAAAACTTCATTACAATTTCATGTAGGACTGAATGTTTCTTGTTGCTTTAACTTTTACCTTACCTTAAGCCTTTACTTACCTTAAAATATAATGTAAAAATTTCAACTATGTATATACAACTACTTTAGGGCTCCTTTCCCCATCTTGTGATGAAAAATTGCAGAAAATGCAAAAATATACAAAACCATTACTGGCTGTATACTGCATGAAAAATGGAACATAATCGGACATTTCCTCAACTAAAACGGTGCAAAAATGGTATTACTTTCAAACTAGCAAATTAAAATAATTTCTGGAATAACAACATGGCCCGCTTGTGCAGGTGTGATAGATATCAGCTGCTCAAATACTAAAAGAAACAATAGTCTGACCTCATCGAAAAACTGCTGAGTTTTGCGAAGTATAAATTTTAGTTCAGTCAGTTCCAGGAAATTTCTCTTCAGAGCTTCCTGGTTTGTGTTGATTTCCTTCAGTTCATTTTCAATCTTCTCAAAATTGGCCTACAGGAAAAAAAAATCAAACTATTAACTTAAACTAACCTCAATATGCTTGTTCTGAAAGACAGATGAATTCATCTATCCCACAGAATTCTTGCAACCTTACGGTTCAAACATATTTTATATCTACCCAGCAAATATGTGATTTTACCAGGGCAATTTTCTTTATGAAAATTTTTTGCTTAGCACCATCTGTCTTTATCTATCGGTTCTATTACACACTTGGTTGAATTTCTCAGGGGACTTTGGATGGATAAAATAAATATTGAAAAGTCTATTGCTTATTCATTTAGTCTATGAGATTAATAAATTGCTAGATAAGTTGACATTAATCCAATAAGGTTTCAATAAGGCAATAAGCATTTATTTGGTGGCATGTGATATCATTCAAGATAGTGCTCTATAATAAGTATCCACAAGAAACTCACAAGCAAGAGACAATGTGGACAACGGCAGCAAGAATTCCTCTACTCTCCATCCACACAGGAAAATAATTTCTGCATTTAAGTAGAAAGAAACGTATCTGGCTTCCTTAGAAGAACTGTTTACCTCTAAGTCAATCATGTCCCGGGGGAAGGGCACCTCTGGGTTTTCACCAGTGTCCATAATGGGGATATTAGCTTTTCTTATCTCTTTCTCAACAAATCCTAAAATGACAGAATCAAAACATTCATGTATAGCATAGGCCTGGAATTGCCAATACTTAAGGAAAAAAAATAAGAGCGAAAACCTGGCTAAAATGAGCTTTATTTTATAAAGATACTTTCATATAAAACAAGCACAACAGGGCGCCTGGGTGGCTCAGTCGTTAAGCGTCTGCCTTGGGCTCGGGTCATGATCCCAGGGTCCTGGGATCGAGTCCCACATCGGGCTCCCTGCTCAGCGGGAAGCCTGCTCTCCCTCTCCCACTCCCCCTGCTTGTGTTCCTGCTCTCGCTGTCTCTGTCTCTGTCAAATAAATAAATAAAATCTTAAAAAAAAAAAAAGCACAACATGTAAATCCTTTTTCCTCTACATTCCTCTTCTTCCACTGCACACTCTCTAAATCACAGCTACCCCAAAGAGGATTGTCATCCCACAACCATCTTCTTTCCCTCTTCTGATCTTAAAAGCTCATCTGCTTCAGTTCTCCGCCCTGTGCAACTACTACTCCAGAGGTACGATGGTTGTTTGTAGACAGTGTTTGCCGAGTTCCAGAAGAGCGCAATTCCATAGAATATTTGACATTTAGCATACTAGTGAAACAACTCCAGATCAAAAGGGTTTCATAAAATTTGAAAACAATCAGATCAGTTTTAACAAAACAAAAAACAAAAAGCATGACACAGTGTAAGGCCCCAAAATACCAGAAGAGAAAAGTGGTAACTAGTGACTTTTTGAGGGCAGAGACCAAATTCACCCATCAGCTAACTGAAAGCTGACATAGTATAGTAGCAAGATCATTGGTTTGGAAGCCAGAGAGAACAACCGAGATTCAAATACTGATTCCAGCATAACTGCTTATGTTCTTGGGCAAGTCACTTAACCTCTCTGATCTTTGGTTCCTCCCTCCCTTCCTCCTTTCCTTCCTCCCTCCCTTTCTTCCTTCCTTCCTCTCTCTATTTTTAAATAATCTCTACACCCAACGTGGGGCTCGAACTCATGACCCTGAGATCAGAAGTCAGATGCTCTACCAATTGTGCCAGCCAGGCACCCCAGCTTCCTGATTTATTAAATGAGGTAACACCCACCTGAAGGAATATTGATTTCAGAGTTGTGGGTTCGAGCCCCATGTTGGATATAGAAATTGCTTAAAAATAAGATCTTCAGGGGTGCCTGGTGGCTCAGTCGTTAAGAGTCTGTCTTCTGCTCAGGTCATGATCTCAGGGTCCTGGGATCGAGTCCCACATTAGGCTTCCTGCTCTGCATGAAGCCTGCTTCTCCCTCTCCCACTCTCCCTGCTTGTGTTCCTGCTCTTGTGCTCTCTAATAAATAAATATTTTTTAAAAATAAATAAAATAAAATCTTTAAAATAAATAATTATTGGGGTATCTGGATGGCTTAGATGGTTAAGCATCTGCCTTCGGCTCAGGTCATGACCTCCAGGTCTTGGGATCAAGCACCAAGTTGGGCTCCCAGCTCAGCAGGAGTCTGCTTCTCCCTCTCCCTCTGCCTTTCCCCCTGCTTGTGCTCCCTCTGTTTCTCTCTCTCTTAAATGAATGAATAAAATCTTTAAAATAAATAAATTAAATACAATAAAAATTATTTAATAAAATAAAATAAGATGGTGGTCTGCGTCCTCTCAGAATTCTATAATGCAATACTGCTATAAAACCTTTCCCACAAAAAAATAACCAATATGGTCAGTTGGCAGCCTTGTCATCTCAAACGAGGTTTCCTAGCCCCAATACCACAAAATCTACTTGTACACAAGAAATTCATCTTAATATCAGGATTGTAAGACTATTCTTCCTTTCTTTTTCTCCTGCAGTATTTTCTTTTGTTAAGAGGACTAGTGTCTCTTAATTTAAGACAAATGACTCATTATAGGAACACGATACAGAACTTAAATGCACATACGAAGCTTTCGATCCATTTCTTCACATCTTCTAACTTCATTCACAAATTTCCGCTGGAAAACATTCACATCTGGATTTAACTGCAAAATAAGAAGACAATGCCACATATTTAAATACTGCATCTACTTTCTGTTTCACAAGCAACACCCTGCAAAGTGAAAATCTAGTATTTTGTTTCAGTGTACGATGCAACACTAACAAAAATGGCCTACTAATCTACATAACCTGCTTCGGGGCCAATCACACCAACTGAAGGTAAAAACCCCTCCCTCACTGTAGCACCATATTACTGGAATGGAGGCAAATTAGATAAAATAGTATGGTACAAAATGGTCTTCCCAGGCCAAAGTCAGTGAGCTCCCCTGACCAAAAATTTGAGCAACGGATGTAATAGAAGCTCTGCCAGGTTTTCCTTCTCTTCCTCCCCATCAGAAGACACAGAAAGCAAACTTCTCTTATTGTTCTGTCCCAGGTCTTCACTTCCTAGGGGACAGGCTGGTTTATTCATTCATACAACACAAGTAATTTTCAAAGCAATGTGACAGATACTCTGGGCAATACAAACAAAAATAAAACAAGTTCCTACTTGCTAAGAAGCCTGCAATCTAATAAAGAAAAAGGATGAACACAACCAATAAGATACCATGTGATAAATTCCAGAAAAGTAATACAGATAAGGGGCGCCTGGGTGGCTCAGTCGATTAAGTGTCTGACTCTTGGTTTTAGCTCAGGTCGTGATCAGGTCGTGATCAGGTCGGCCTCTGCACTTAAGTGTGGAATCTGCTTAAGATTCTCACCCTGGGCCGCCTGGTGGCTTGGTTAAGCATATGCCTTTGGCTCAGGTCATGATCTCAGGGTCCTGGGATTGAGCCCCGCGTCAAGCTCCCTGCTCAGTGGGGAGTCTGCTTCTCCCCCTCTTCTGTACCCCCCACCACTTGCGCTTCTCTCCCTCAAATAAATAAAACCTTTAAATAAAAAAATAAAAAGAGTGGGGCGCCTGGGTGACTCAGTCGTTAAGCATCTGCCTTCGGCTCAGGTTGTGATTCCGGGGTCCTGGGATCAAGCCCCATGTCAGGCTCCCTGCTCGGCGGGAAGCCTGCTTCTCCATCTCCCACTCCCCTTAATTGTGTTCCCTCTCTCACTGTCTCTCTCTCTGTCAAAAAATAAATAAAATCTTAAAAAAAGAGTAAAAAAAAAAGATTCTCTCACCCCTTTCCCTTTGCCCCCCCTTGCACGTGTGTACACACTCTCTCTCTAAAACAAATAAATAAAATTTAAAAATGTGCTTAAAAGTGATACAAAAAAAATTTAGGGGCGCCTCGGTGGCTCAGTTGTTAAGTGCCTGCCTTCGGCTCAGGTCATGGTCCCAGGGTCCTGGGATCGAGCCCCACATTGGGCTCCCTGCTCTGCAGGAAGCCTGCTTCTCCCTCCCCCAGTCCCCCTGCTTGTGTTCCCTCTCCTGCTGTGTCTCTCTCTGTCAAATAAATAAATAAAATCTTCAAAAAAATGTTTTTTTTTAAAGTAATACAAATAAAGAACTATAACTACTCACTCAACATTTATGAAGCACCAACTATGTGCAGGGCACCATATTAGGCACTGGTATAAATACAAAAGGATATGTCTGAGCTTTGAGGAGCTATCAGACCCGTAGATGAGACAGACACAAACTAAATAAATACAATTTGTTGTGATAAATGTTTTTTTAAAAGTAAATATTGTTGTCAGTTTTTTATACAATTAAACATATACCTACCTACTTTATGACTGAGCATTCCACTACTAGGTATTTGCTTAGGAGAAATGAAAACATGTCTACAGAGATTCGTACAAGAATGTTTACAGCAGCTTTATTCACAATAGCCTCAAACTGGCAATGTTCCAAATATCCAACAACAGGAGAACAGATAAAGACATTGTGGTGTATTCATGCAATGGAATACTACTCTGCAATAAAAGAGAATCAACTATAGATACACATAAAAACAGAAACATCTCAACACTAGTTTGAGTTTAAAAAGTCAGACATAAGGCTTTGCAGTGTATGATTCTCTTTACATTAAGTTCAAGAACACGCAAAACTAATCTATGATAGGTAGAAACCAAAACAGTGGAGAATGACCAGAAGTAGGCACAAGATACCCTTCTGGGCTGACGGAAATATTCTGTATCTTGACTGGGGTGGTGTTTGCAAAGACATAAAAATTTACCAAATCATCAAATTGTACTCTTAAGGTCTATGCATTTCAGTGAATATAAATTTTACATCCATAACAAACATGGGGGGGAAAGGAAGAAAAGGAAAGAAAAGGGAGAAAGAATGAAACAACGAAAGAAAGAAATGAACATATGCAAGAATAAGTATGAGAAAAAAATGAGTAACTGAGTTGAAAAAATGTACAAAGGAAAACCTGAGCTGGGACTCTGGGGGATAAGGCAGAGTTCACCAATCAGAAATAGGCAGAATGAAGCAGAAAGACAATGACAAGTGACTCAGAGACATAAATAAATCATATATTCAGAGAAGGGGAAAAATTGTTCCGTAGGCAGAATGGAATCAAATAATCTGATTTTCTAAAAAACACTTCTTAAAGATTTACTTTTTTTAAGATTTTATTTATTTATTTTGAGAGAGAGAGAGAGAGAGAGAAACAGCAAGAGAGGGAACACAAGCGAGGGGGTGGGAAAGGGAGAAGCAGGCTTCCTGCTGAGCAGGGAGCCCGATGTGGGGCTTGATCCCAGGACCCCAGGATCATAACCTGAGCCAAAGGCAGACGCTTAACGACTGAGCCATGCAGGCGCCCCTAAAGATTTACGTTTTTGAATAATACTGTGTATGAAGAATAAATTGTTAAGAGGGATAGAATGATAATGGAGAAACTAGTAAGAACATTATTGGCATCATTATATTAATATTAGAGAGAATCTAAGACAAAAAGCATTATTAGAGATTATGAGAATCACTACAAACAATTTCCAGGAAGATGCAACAATCTTAAACTTGGATGTCTCTAATAAAATGTTTGTTTTTTTCACCGAGCAGGCAGTATCTTGGCCTTCCATTCAGAAATTTCCACTTCAATAAACATGAAACTGAAGCAAAAGTAGCCACAAGACTACTCTACTGGTTTCACTATCTGTAGGCAAAGTTCAACTGCAGCCAGTGTCAGGTAAGGCATCTCAAAATATTTGGGCAAGGCATCCTCAAAATATTTCCTACAGAAATTAACAGAACCACAAGGAGACACTGACAAATCTGTCTATGTAGTGGAAAATTTTAAATACAATTTTAAATACAATTTTAAATTATTGATACATTGAGTCTACCAAATATTAGTAAGGACAGAGAAAATGTGAACAACCTAATTAATAAGCTTAATCTAAAATATATATACATACACACAATTTTTTTATCCCAGCATCCAACAGTTCTCTCTTTTAGAATTCATTATGAAAACTGACCACAAAATAGGTCATATAGCAAATCTCAGTAAAGATCTTTACTATACAGATAATGTTCTATGATAATGCAATTAAGTTAGAAATCAATATCAAGGGGCACCTGGATGGCTCAGTCAGTTAAGCATCCAACTCTTGGTTTCAGCTCAGCTCATGATCTCAAGGTTGTGAGATAGAGCCCTATCTGTCTCCTTGCTCAGTGGGGAGTCTGCTTGAAGATTCTCTCCCTCTGCCCCTTCCCCCACTAGCGCACACATGCTCTCTCACTTTCTTTCTCTCAAATAAATAAATAATCTTAAAAAAAAATCAATATCAAAAATACAACCTAGGGTGGCCTGGGTTGCACAGTTGGTTGAGTGGCCAACTCTTGGTTTTAGCTCAGGTCATGATCTCAAGGATCATGAGATCAAGCCCCACACAGGGCTCTGCACTGCTTAAGACTCTCTCTGTCCCAGGGCACTGGGATGGCTCAGTCGGTGCAGTGTCCGACTCTTGATTTCAGCTCAGGTCGTAATCTCGGGGTCATGCGATCGAACCCCATGTTGGGCTCCATGCTCAGCGTGGAGTCTGCTTGGGATTCTCCTTCTCCCTCTGCCCCTCGACCCGCACATACTCTCTCACTCTCTCTCTCTCTAAATTAAATAAATAATATCTTTTTAGCATACTCTCTCACTCTCTCTCTAAAATAAATAAATAAAATCTTTTTTAAAAAAGACTTTCTTCTTCTCCCTCTGGCCCTACCCCCTGGCTCTGTGCATGCACTCTCTCGCTAGATTAATTAAAAAACAAACAAACCAACCACAACCTAAACAGTATATCTGGAAATTCTAAAATAGTCCTAAATAATTCATGACTCAAAGAAGAAATCATAATAAAATTCTTAAGGGCACCTGGGTGGCTCAGTTGTTAGGTGTCCTACTCTTGGTTTCAGCTCAGTTCATGATCTTGAGGTTGTGAGATTGAGCCCCACATGTGCGCTCAATGTGGAGTCTGCCTCAGATTCTTTCTCCAGCTCCCCCCTACTCTGCTCCTCTCCCTGGTCACGCTCTCTCTCTAAAATAAATAAATAAAATCTTTAAAATTAAAACAAGAGAGAGAATTATTAAAAAAAATTCTTAAAATATCTGGAATGGAATGATAATGAAAATGTAAAGATCAGGGGTGCCTGGCTACCTCAGTTGGTGGAACATGTGACTCTTGATCTTGAGGTTGTGAGTTCAAGCCCCACATTTGGCATGGAGCCTACTTAAAATTTTTTTTAAATGTAAAGACCAAACTTTGTGGGATGCAGCTGAAGTACTATTTAAAAGGAAATTCAGGAGTGCCTAGGTGGCGTAGTCGGTTAAGCATTCAACTCTTGGTTTCAGCTCAGGTTGTGACCTCAGGGTCATGAGATTGAGTCCTGTGTTGGGCTCCATGCTCGGCACGGAGTCTGTTTGAAACTCTCTCTCTGCCCCTCCTCCCTGCCCTCTCTAAAATAAATAAATCAAAAAAAAAAAAAGAAATTTATAGCCTTAAATGCATGTAATAGAAAAGACTAAAAATGAATGTGCTAAGTGTTCAAGAAGTGAGAACAAGGTAACAGAAGGCAGAAAATAAACAGCAGAAATGAATGAAAGTC